ATTTTTATATAAATAATTAAGTTATTTTAACCTCATATATAAACTTGTATCTATGCATTATAAAAAAGTGAATAATGTATATTATATCAAACTTTACAGAGAAAATTTTCTGGAAAATATAATATTGGGGGTTTTTTGGTGTGGTTTAATCAATATAGTCACAGGCAGTAGGAAAGGTTTAGATGTAGTCTAAATGTTTAGATATAATCAATATAGTCACAGGTAATAGGAAATATAAATATTTTTCTTGACTAAAAAATATGTTCAAGTAGTTGAGATGAATTGTAGGGCATACTTTCCATGACCTGATGTTTTTCATGATTGCACACAGCCTTAAATAACATGAAGATACCAAGAATAGAATTCTAAAATCTGCCATGTAGACTTATATATAATATTTAATGAAATCATAAAACTCACTCATGAAATTCAAGTAAAATTATAAAATTCACTCATAGAACCCAAGTAAAGATTAAAAATTATCTTTCTTTTGCATTTATAAAAGACTGATGGATTATCATCTTAGTGTAAGAACAAGTATTGCCTAGCTGGTATTTTGAAAATTTTATTTAGTTTATATAATTAAAGTATTATTTTGTTTGTGTTTTCATTTATTGGAAAAATTGAGAGATGCACACAGATTTATATTGGAGTTTAGACTTTTATGGGCACACACAAAACTAAGAGTAAAAGTAACAATATATTAGAGATGATGATAATTTGCATCTTAAATTCTTCTGTAAAGAATGTCAAAACACCTTAATGAGTGATTATCTTTTTAATTAAGTTTACTTGTACTTTATTTGTACTACTTTAATACAATAAAGCAGACAAACGTTTTATGATTATGTACTCATGTTAATTTAAAGTAGAAATTAACCCTATCTTTAAAACATGTTTTGAAAAAAGACAAGTGTATAAGACACTCCTGGAGCATGTAGTAAGAAACATTCCCTTTTTACTCAGCCAACCCTAACCCCTAAAAATAAAGATGTATATGAAGTTTATGGAAATTATTGAATGTAACTAATCAAACTGTGCCGAATTAGAATAATGTTGCCGGAAAATATCTTCAAAATTATAAATGAAGAAAAATACGTTCACACACTTTGTGTTTATTACTGAAATCGCTAACACACTGGACTGTAAAGTTTTGGAGATCATAATCTAGGGAACTCACCTGAGTTCCTATTGTCAAGAATGTTTTAGAAATTAGAGAAGTAGGAATAAAGGTATACAATGAATAATGTTCCTAGTAAAAATACAATTTTTCTTTCACCTTTTCATTCTAAAACACTGAGTTTATTCTCTATACTATAATATTTTAGTCCTCTATGTCTCAATTTCATTTTTATACATGTATTGTGTGATTAATTCCCTTTTACGGAAAACGCCATGCATGTATAGCAAAATAATTTTCTCTTCTAACATAAAAATTCTAACATCAACCCCAATATGAATCTTTTAAAATTGAACTGTAAAAAACTGTGTAAGAATGTATTCATTTTAAAATTTTATTTTAGTAGATATCATTCTACTGGCTTGATACATTTTCTTCTCTGAAAGCATATTAAAATGACTTGTAATAGTGCTACCAAAAAATCTGAAAACACAGATGTTAAAACAAAACTGGAAATACTCCCACTAGTAAAACGTCCCCAATCTTCTCCCTCTTCTCAGTGAAGCCTTCTTTGAAAATACCTGTTGAGAAGTTTCTCTGAAACTTAAATAATTCTTGATAAGCCACAATAAACAATTACTTGTGACATTTTTTGATGATCTCTACTTGATTTTAGATTCTCATTAACATATGAAATAATTCATATGGAAATTGCTCCTATGAAAAAATGTGTTTATTAATTTGTCTAACAATCTATTTGCCTTACCTACCACAAAATCTGTGCTCCTGTTTTTCAAAATAAATGTTATATTTCATTATAACAATCTTTTATTATGAGTCACACTACTGATTTTATTATAAATACTATTCTATTGTTTAAACACTTCTTAATCTCACTTTATTTCAGCTTGTATACTTGAAATAAAATCTCTTAAAAACCTGAAATAAAATCTGTTCTCAAAAAGCCCTCTTTCTACATTAGCTTACATAATTGTTCTGTATTTATATTCAATAAAAATACGCTTATGCCCAAGAATCTACAAATCTTAACCTTAAAATTGTAGGCCCCACAACTCACACATAACCTTTTAATACTTAAATAACTCTTAATTTGAGTTGTAACATGGGTCTTATAAATCCTGGAGTTTCTAAGTTTCTTGTCACCACTCTTTACCAGTGTATCTCAAACAATTATGAAACTCTTTCCATTACATCAATAGAAATACACTGTACATCTTCTAAACAGTACACAAAATGCTGGAAAATAAGATAAACCTGATCTAGTAGCTGCTAATCCAAGTGCACTCTGATGGATTAAAATTATTCCTTCAGAAATACAGGAGATTAATAGTGTGCTTCTTCAGCAGGCAGTGTTAAATACACCCACTAATAAATGCACTTGAAACAAGATAATGGGATACCTGAACACTTTAATTTAAACATATCATCTCAGCTCAGATTATCTGTAGCACACTAGTTTAAAAAAGAGAAAAGAAAAGTCACTGTAGTAAATTTACTCTGTTCTCCCTAATAGGTATTGAGAAAAACCCGATACACTTAAAATAAAATTCACTTAGTAGGAACTTATAAAGCACCCCTTATAGGATTGCAAAAACCCAGTAGAAAAAAGAAGAGAGCTTGTTTTAATAATTTATATTGAGGGTATTCCCTGGGCAAGGGCAATAAGGGAAATTGAGCTACTTTGGAAAAAAATTTCAATAACCTAAAACAATTTTTTCTGTGTCCTTATGGTATGGAGTAGGATTCTATAAAAAAAGAAATGCAAGGAAGTAGGTCTTTTGTCTTCTGTTTAAACTACCTCTCTCCCTCTCTTCCTGTGGGTGTGTTTGTATGTATGTGCTGTGTGTCTATGTGTGTGTGACTTGCTTTACCTCAAGTTTTACTGCTAATGAGAGGAATAATTATCATCATAATCATTACCATCATCATCATTATGATCATGATCATCCATCTATTCATCAAGCAATGACCAGCTTCAAGAACACTATGATGTAAATACAGTATGGGCACCCCCTCAAAACCTCTGAATACTTCCATCCAAGAATATTCCTTGCTAATAGACCAAGGAACCAGGCTTGCTGAGAATTCAACTGTACCAACTTCATTTTTACATGGACTCTAAATAAGAATTCAACTAATAGAGCTTGAAGTAAAAGATCAAGCATTAACCCTCTGTGATGTCATTGTAATGCCAATGGTAAAAATATAAGAAAGGCATATAACATATGTGTATTTGCAAGATGACTGTAAAAGATATATAAGTGTATATTTTAACATCTCCCTTTAAAATGATTATCATAAATAACAGTTTTGTATAGTCACAGAAAGACTTTTATAAAAACCACATTTTTTTTAAAGGGAGGCATTTCTTGTTCAGTTTTATATAAACTCCGAAAAATCATGATTACTGGTATATGGTAAACAATAAAAATTGGAATTTAATATTACTGCAATTTATACTTTAGTATATTCAGTGGCATCAAGTACAAGAGTCTGTTTTACAAGGACATTATACTATTATAAGAAAATAAGTTTTAAGTTTTAGTATTTGATACACTTATCTCAGAAAAGATAAGACTATGAAATTTAACAACTGTTTTAATAATGAAAACATTACTTAATCAAGTGTCATTAAAAGGTATTTGCTTTTGAAAGCATAAAATAATAAACAAATTATTTTCATTTGACCCAAACTAATCTTCCTCCTAAAGTGTCACTTATACTTAAACTCAATTTTGAATTTCAAGAACTACTCATCGAGAGTAATTTGTAGTAACACACATTCATAATAGGGAAGAATTAAGTTTTCCTGTGACAACTCAGTAGTGGATAAAAGAAACTAGTGAGACACACAATATAGTCACCTGCTGTTGTTAGAATCTATGTACATGCTGGATCATTTTTTTTTTTTTTTTTGTATATCAATAACTTCAAATGATACTATCGACTATATATTAAATACCACTTAGATATACAGAATATATACAGTATGCAAACTAAATGCATCCTGCAATTCTTTTTGGCAAGTGCCTTTAGTTCAACTTTGCTTCCTGTTTTCAACAGCCCCAAATGAGTCTGTGACCCTCTTGTGAACTTTCTTCATTCCTCAATGACACCAAAAAACAGAACAGGAAAAACACAGGACAAAATAAATGTAAATTTTTCATAGATAGTTACTCATTATTATCCAGAATCTACATTTATTCAAACTTTTGAAAGGTCTTGAGAGTATGTCACATTTCTGAAGCTTAAGTAACTTAATGCATTATGCTGCAGTTTCAGCTAGAGAATAGATAAAATCACGTCCTTTAAAACACTTTTTAAATATAAAACTGACTTTGGGGATGGTGGTGAAAACCAGCTCAAATTGATTCAGGCTCTGGAGTTCTGGCCGGTTGCTATGTTGTACTTCAAGTAAACTGCTTAATATTTGGGTAGACAAGTCTTTCATTTGGCATCAATTTTTTGAATGGAATTAAATTCATTTTTAAAGTGAATTAAGTAAAACAATGATTTCTGCTCTGAAAATCCTTCCTTACAGAAAAAAAAAAAAATGTAGACCATCAAATAAAAATAAAGGAAATTAAGCTATGAATACTGAACACTGCTAACATTTTTAAATCTATAAAAATAAACTTTAAGAACGCAACAAACGTAGGACATTTGCATCTTGAAGATTTTAGACTATATGGGAGGGAATATGTATAGGTAATGTACACGCAGTGGAAAAAGTGTAAACCACTTTTTAAAATCCCCTCTCACTGCTGCTGGCAGTATGGCTTGTCCTGTACCAAGGATTTCAGGACAGCTCCCAACACAGCAATAGAGGGAAGTCCCAGTTATGCTAAAAGTCTCCTACCTGAATTATGGACATCCGCGTGGCCGGGGTCTCGCTCGCATTAGTCCCTTGTCCGGTGAAGCTGGTGTGGCAGCCCGCGTGCCCCTGAGGAACAGTCAGGTTGTTGGAGGCTGGTTTGAGATACATCACCTCCGACCGGGGCGAGCTGAGGGGCAGGCGGGTCTGATAGTCGAAGTACATGGGGGAGGTGGCCAGGGAGGGGCTGCTCACCACGTTCATGACGTTCATGGCGTTTCTTTCCTCCACTTCGCTCTGCACCAGCATGATATCGTTTTTATTGATCTTCTTCTTCTTGCCCTTGCCCCCGCCCAACTGCGGGTGGCTGTACTCTGCGATGCGGCAGTTGTAAGTGCGGATCTCCTTGTTCTCTCGCTTGCACTTGACGGCGATGGTGATCATGGCAGCTAGAAGGATGATAGAAATAGTGCTCAGAGTCACGATGAGCGGCAGAGACATGTCCCAGTGGTGCTGCTCGCCATTCACCCGGGGAACCCCCTCGGGCAAGGAGCCGCTCACCGAGCGGATGATGAGTTTGGCCACAGCGGACAGGGTAGGCTTGCCGTGGTCAGTCACCTTCACTACCAGCTCCACCACCGGAGTCACGTCCTCCCAAAATGGGTGCAGCGTGCGGATCTCACCGCTGGACGGATCTATTTCAAACAGGTGGTCGTCGTTACCGTCTACGATCTCGTAGGTGAGGCGCCCGCTTTCCCCGAAGTCGCTGTCAAGGGCGCGCACGGTGCTCACCAGGTAACCCAGGCCCGCGTTGCGGGGCACTTGCAGCTCAGCGGTGTCGTTCTGCAGCGTGGGCAGTACGATCACCGGCGCGTTGTCATTCACGTCTAGCACTGTCACCCTCACAGTAGCGTTGCTCTCCAAGTGTGCGGGCGCCCCAGAGTCCTTAGCAAGCACCTTGAACTCAAAAGCCTTGGTCTGCTCATAGTTAAAGGAGCGCAGGGCGTAGATGGCCCCGTTGGTGGGGTTCACAGACACATATGTGTAGATGGACACGTCGCCGATGTGCGAGGGCAGGATGGAGTAGGACACTGTGCCGTTTTGGCCCAGATCGGGGTCCTGGGCGAGCACCGAGCCCAGGTACTCTCCTGGGATGTTGTTCTCGTGCACCTGCAGCACGTAGAGTCCCTTGGTGAAACGAGGAGGGTTGTCGTTCTCGTCCAGAATCTTGACAGCGAACGACTTGGTGGAATTGAGTGGAGGTGAGCCCCCGTCCCGCGCCACGATAGTCACGTTGTACTCGTCCTGTGTCTCCCGGTCCAGCGGGCGGTCAGTCACTACCGTGTAGAAGTTGTCATAGTTTTCCTCAAGCTTGAAGGGCACAGAACCTCCAGACCCTCCCAGACCGCCGCCGCCGGCCGTCCCACCCCCGCCCAGGACCCGGCACTGCAGCTGCCCGTTCTTGCCCGAGTCGCGGTCAGTGACCCGCACTAGGGCTATGACGGTGCCTGGCGGGGCGGCCTCACTCAGCGCCCCCTGGCGCACAGAGACGAAACCAATGGACGGCGCGTTGTCGTTGCGGTCGATGAGCTTGACAGTGACCTTGCAGTGGGCCGGGATGGGGTTGGGACCCAGGTCTCGGGCCTGCACGTCGATCTCCAGCATTCCATTCTCCTCATAGTCCAGGTTGCCTTTGACACGGATCAGGCCGGTCTTGGGGTCGATGGAGAACAGCTCCCGCACGCGATCTGGCACATAGCTGCTAAAGGAGTAGAGCACTTCACCATTGGGACCCTCGTCGGCGTCAGTGGCGTTCAGATCAATTACCACGGTGCCCATTGGGGCGTTCTCAGGCAGTTCCACCAGGTAGGAGGGCGCCTCGAAGACTGGGCTATTGTCGTTGGAGTCAATCACCTTCACGTTGATCTGCACAGTGGCTGAGCGAGGCGGCTCGCCACCATCCAAGGCGGTCAGCACGAGTGTGTGGTGGTTCTGCTGCTCACGGTCCAGTGCCTTCTGGATCACCAGCTCTGGGAACTTGGTGCCATCGCCGCGGGACTTGACGTCCAGCGAGAAGAGGCCGTGGTCGTCACGCGTGAGAAGATAGGTTCGGAGCCCGTTCTCCCCGGCGTCGGGGTCGTGTGCACTGGTAAGGGGGAAGCGGGTGCCAGGGGCGGCATTCTCTGAGATGTCCATCTCAATCTGGTCCGAAGGGAAGGAGGGCGAATTGTCGTTGATGTCCTGGATTTCCACCTTGATCATGCAGATCTCCTTGTCGTTGGCGAATACCTCGAGGGACAACTGGCATTTGGCGTTGTGGCGGCATAGGGACTCACGGTCGATGCGCTGCTTGGTGTAGAGGAGCCCGCTGTCAGCGTCCACGTCCAGCAGGTGAGGCGCGGAGTTCTCCAGCACCCGGTAGCTACCGGACTTGCTGCGCCCGCTGCCTCCGCGCTCTGCAGGCTGAATCCCTGGCTGCAGTCGAGCATCCTTGCCGATGTTGCCGATCACCGTGCCGGCCCCCTGCTCCTCCGGCACGGAGTAGTTGAGGTTTTTGAGTGTCAGGGCAGGGGCCCATAGCAGAAAACAGCAACAGATGGAAAGATACATCCCAGACCCTTGGGGTGGGGGCCGGAGCAGCCGGACTGGAGGGGAGAGCTGATGGGTGCGCGTCAGCCTGGAGCCTCCGCGCAGCATGCGCGCGCGACACCAGCCACAAGTCTGTGGGTCCTTCCTTTCCTTGGCTCCCGGGCTGCGGCACCCGGCGGTCCCTCCTTATTCCGCTCAAGTTCCCGAACCTGTTGATCTACAGCATCCGCACTGAGCGAGAAGCAGCGGCGCAGCAAAGCTGCACGAGCATGGAGCAAGGCGGCGGCTCCCTGCGGCTGGGGCAAGCCCTGGGCTTTGTCTCTGCCACCGGAACTTGAGACGACTCAAACTTGAGCGACTACGCTGGCGAGAAGATGTAAATCGAGTCTGGGGAGGGGATGATAATGAGCATAGAATGCGTAGGTTTTCCTCGCTCCCGCTAGGACGCTGCAAATCCACTCCCGCCAGTAGCCTCCGGAATACTCCTCACATTGGGTGGGGGAGGGAGCGGGGAGGTGTGTCTCCAGGCAGATCAGAAAGTGAAATCCTTACTTGTTTCTGGTCGCCTCCAGTGATAAAATTGATGGGGATGGGGAGCAATGAAGAGAGAATCAGTTATATTTTGAAGCTTTCCCGGAGAGCTGTGAAATGCCTGCTTGCTTCTCCGGCTGGTCTGTTTTCAGGCAGTGTTTTGCTGCATTTAGAGATCTAATCTTGCATTTTTGGCTGAGGCGGCGGCGGCGGCGGCGGCGGCGGCGGCGGCGGACTGCATCTCCCTGCCAAGCGTATTTTTTCTCTCTCCTTTCCGAGCAGCCAAAGGGAGGGGAGGAAATGCAGCGCAAAGAACTAGTGTCCCGATTTGTAGTTTCCTCCCTCCACCAAGCTCCTCCCTCTCTTCCTCCGAAAAGGCTTTCCCTCAAAGTCAAGAAAGCCACAGCCGGATCAGCGTTTGCGGTGTGAGTCTATAGGGAGGGGGGCGGGGGGATGTATCGGTGTATCTCCGCCTCTGTTCGGAGAACACACTCAGGGATTTCTCTGCGCGAAGCCAGTAGCCGCCGCTACCATCCCATTCTCTCCCCGCGAGCAAGGACTTCTCTCGCTGCAGTTTAATTCCAGTTTGCTTTGCTTCTTAGGCGAAAGGAAATCAACAGGCAACTCATGGTTGGATGTGCAGATTCGAAGGGGGTGGGGAAGGCGGAATAAAAAGGAAGGGGGAGCCACCTCCCAGTCCTCGCACACACACTCTCCCTGTCTCTCGCTAGAAGGGAAACAGTCTCTGCATTCACAAGGCTGGGCTGTCAAGTGCCTCTCTTTTCTTTCTATTCAGCATCTCCTTCCAATGGCCCTGTCTCCCAGTCCTCTTCATCTAGAAGGGAAAACCTTGGCGATGAATAAAAGTGGTGAATATTTGAAGCGAACAAAGTGCGGGTATTTTTTCCTTCAAATTTTTTTTTTTTTTTTTTTTAATAGTAGGAGTGGGCTGGAGGAAAGAACCACATCAAGGTTTGGCGTGACACATTCTGCAGTCTCCCTCAGTCTCTGGGCGACTCCGGGAGGCCAGGGGTGAGGAGCTGCGTCCGCGCGAGTCCAGCCAGCGGCGCCCACCCCGGGGGGCTACCTCCGAGGGGATATTAGGCGCAGGTCTGTCTACACATTATTTCGGGTTCTCGAGGAGCCTAGACATACGGGAATGACACATCCAGAAATGCAGGTGTTCCGATCAGCCGGATGAGTCAGAGGCAGCGGAACGAATCGTATTCACTCTCGCCTCACGGTCCTCCCTTCACAGACATTAGTTGCGGCTTCTTCCTAACGCTTTCTCTGACTCACTCCATAGAAAGGAAAGCCAGATTCATATTTTGGAGGAAAATGAAAAAGCGAGAGAAAGGGAGGGAGGGAAGGAGAAAGGTGAAGCTGAATCCAACAGCACTTTTACTCTACCTCTCTCTGCCGGAGTCCAAGGTTCGGGGAAAAACAAGGCGTCTGTTTTGCTAGGTGTGTTTATTTGTTTATTAAAAAAGAAGAAGAAGAAGAAACCCTTTTCTTTTGGTTAGGCTTGAGGAACCCCAAAATCTTTGAGTCTTGGGGTGGGGGGATCAGGATTCCAGTGAGTGCTCACAGCTTAGCCCCGCATTGTAGTTCAGGATTTTCCTCCCAATGCTCTATTCACAAAGTCCAGCCCGGTGTGCATAGTTAATTGTGCAGTCCGTTGTGGAGGCTTTTAAATTTTTTTTTTTTTCCTCCTTTTCTGTCACGGGTGGTCTCTTTCAATCTGGTGTCTGTCAGGATCAGCTCACAGCCAGCGAAAGACGTGCGGCTATCAAAGCAAATAAATCCATCTCCGCCAGCAAAGCATAGAAGGAAAAGAAAGACGAAAATTCAACAGTTGGAGTAGCGTCTCCCCAGCCGCCCTCCGCCGCTGCCGCATCCGCCCGGCTCGCAGTCCCGGCTCTCTCCCCAGCGCCTCTAGCTGACTGACTCTATTCACCTCACGCCGCCGCTTAAACATTGATACTGATTCCCTGCCAGCCAATCCGCGCGAGGAGCAAAGCCCTGCCTCCGTGGCACACGCCCAATGGAAGGCAGAGAGGAGACAGGCGGGGGCGGAGCCAGAAACCCTAGCGCTTCAGAGTCATTGATTAGATCAGTTAGATGAGAGACCAACCAGCGGGGCTACCCGAGCCCTGCGCTCCGCTATCGCGGAGGTGCCCGGGGCCTCGCCGCCGGGTCTTCCGAGTACTAGACTACTGGGAGGGTCCTTCACCGTCTTCCTCTAAAAAAGAGAAAATTAGAAAGAAAAAAAAAAAGTTTGACAGCATTTAATTTTTTGTCCGATGTGCACAGGCACCGGACTCCCAGCTTGCTTGCAGAATGAGGTAGCTGCGGTCTTCCTGCTAGGTTTCTGTATACACACACACCACACAGCACACACACACGCACATGCACATACATATACATCGGCACCATCGACACACCCATAGCAAGGGAGCCACGGATCTCTGGCTGAGCGTGGACCCGTCTGAATGAGGTGCAGAGGGATGTGTGTGTGTACAGGCGCGCGCGCACGTGCGCGTGCAGGTGCGTGTGTGTTTCTGGGGGGTATGATGTGTATTTCAATGAGTGTGTGTGAATGCGAGGGCGCTCGCGCGCCCGCTTCTGCCCGCGCTGGTGCAAACACACCAGGAGCAACAGCAGTCAATATGTAACTTTCTTTATCCTCTGAGAAAAATCAACTGTCCCCAGGCACACATGCAAGAAAAGTCACTTGATTATGAAAGTGTTTCAGAAGAAAAGTAGAATCCCAGTGAAAGAGAGGCAGTGTTTCCCCAGAGGAAAAGAGTCTCTCCTTTAAGGAGAAAGGCTTACTGTCAATTCAACCTTTGTAGTTTGTCAAAACTCAAAGGTGGCTAAATAAAACTTAGGGCTCTACCCTTTTCAGTCAAATACTAACCAGGCCAGATTCAAGGTAAAGTGGGCATGCACCCAAACACACACAGTATTTGTGTTTTGTTCGCCTCAAGCTTGTTATTAAAGTTCCATAAGGCAATTTGGATGTTATCTCCTTAAGACGAAATATATTGATAACCACATTTACCAAAGCTCTTATGCATAGAAGCTGAACCATAAATCTGAAGGCAGATCTTTGGGTGATCAATTAAGATTCACATTTTGTAAATAACACCACCAAAACAACCGCACACACAGAGGTTTGGGGAGGGGGGAGAAAGAGGACCCTGATTGCTTTACTTTTCCAACTTCAATACCTAATCTCAGAGACTCTTTCTTCCCAAACTCTTAGCACAAACATCCACAAGTGAGGACTGGTTTGCCTGTGATCCAGCCATTCTTGCAAAGAGTTAAGAAGGAAAAAGAAATTGAAGTATTGAAATAGAAAAGGTGAGTGTTTTGATTGCTACAGTATTGATCACAATTCATAAATACTGAAGTTAAGTTGCCATTTATAAATTCTGAATGACTAACGTACAAGTTTGTAACATAAATCATTCAGGATTCAAAGAAAATCAAATTCAGACCAATTACAAGAAAGTTCTGATGATTATTGTTGGAATAATTGCTTAAGCATTTAGGTTAAAAAAAGTTATTTATTTCCCAGTGGATTCAGTGATATAACCTATAGTCTGAATTTGCAGTCAGATCTCGATACAAAATTCATCACTCTCTTCAGAGACTTATCTTTAACAGTTGAAAATTTTAAGGAGGAGCTCCTAACAGCCAGATCTTCAAATCCTAAAATGGCGTTGTATTTTCTCTAATAAGTAGTTTGTCATACATATACCTTTGCTAAACAAGTGAGCTAGAGCTTTGTAGAAATCTGGATTGTTTTGTGTTCAGTGGGTGCTTAACCATGCCACCTTGTGAAAACTGATCTTTACACCTCTTTGAGGTTGGTACCTCTGTTCCAACACATACACCTTGGAAGGTGAGGTTTTGAGGCTATAAAAGCAGCAACTGACTTAAATAAAGAGTAGTGATTATATGCTCATTAATTAATCATTATTTTTAATACAATAAATTTATGGCTTTTTATGCATTACATACTAATTCAAGCAAAGTCATAAAATATGCTTATTTGAGGTATATGATAAGGCAAAAAAAGAGAATGAAAAATCCAAGAAAGGGTAGTATGGTTTATTGATTAGCCTTAATTAGATGTTCTTTTATGCAAATAAGGGGGGAAACAAGTTGTCTGAGACCAGTGATAGGAAACATGTCTTCTTAGACATGATTTTGTCCACATCTATCCAGAGTAATTATGGATAGACAGAGAGCTACCATGCTTATGGTGTATACCAAAGGGCTTCTTTCAAAGGGAGCAAAATAGAACTATATCAGATAACTTATATTTTATATAAGTTGTAGTATTGAGGTCTGTTGTTAAAAACTCAAAAGAAATTCATTTATATCTCATCCTTATTTTATTTTTAAAGAAAACTGATCAACTAATACTTCTCATTGTTTGGCATCCCTTTAACTAGACACAAATTTTAAGCTATAATTACTTTTAAGTTTTCACTATCTCATAAGTTCTGTTTTTTTTCACTAACTATAATTTTTCTGTTTATAATATAGTTCTCGAGGTATTTTTTAGATTATGTTTAAAATATTGAGCTTATTTTTTTCAAAACAGAAATGATATGAATATGGTCAAAGAGTTCAAAAATCCTACTGGTTTTGTACTGTGGTAAGCAGGCTATAAGCATAAGAAATCTTGTTAAAGAATATAGAAAAATGTAGTATTATTCATAACTAACGATACCTACAACTTCATTTCTCAAGAAGAGACTGGTTTATAATCATTACTTATAATTGTAAATGATAATCTTAACCTTCATCAAAATTATATTATTCCATATATATATAGAATAATCAAAGATCTTCTGTGATTTAATAAAAATATGTAAGTATGCACACTCATTGAGAGAACTTACTTGGAAAGACATATATAATCCTAAAGTTTTTAATTAATAAGATATTTTGCTAAGTGAGGTTTAAAATAAATTGATATATTGAAATAGTTTCAAACAGAAGTTTTAATGTCTATTGTTATAGACTGATAAAGACTGATTAATATTGCTACATTAAATCAATAATTGAATTAATATTAAAAATAATCTTAAAGCTCCTTTTTAAATTAAATTTTATGTTGTTGAAGTTATTTAATTTGGTCTCTGAGAGATTATTTAAAATTCATATTTACTAGTTGTAGTCATAGTTCAGAGAGTTTATGTGCCTAGAGCTATAATGTAACAGTT